TTAGAGATTCTAAGATACATTCCTTTTTTTAAAGTTGAAGCACAAGTGGAAGTACATTATTACAATAGAGATACAATTCGATAATAAATTAAATATGGACAGTCCTCTTATTCTGTCCTAGAAACTAATTATGACAAGTGACTCAATTTGGCAAGTCATCTTAAGAGTCATCCGGAGAGAAGACTACGCCAAATAATTTATGCTACCACAGATAATTCATCTTTAATGCATAGCACATTGCACATGTGTCTCTTTGAAAGTTCTGACAAGTAGGCAATTCCTGTCGCAGCTGCTGTATCTTCACCATTGCATTTAGCAAATAAAAAACAGGACGTAACACCTAAATCTTTCGCGAGAGTAGTCTCGCACAAATTTCCATAGTTATTTGCATAGTGGTTAGCGCGAAATCGCTAAATCAATAAGAATCTCAATCAGTGGCACGTTAGTGAATGATACCCAATGACGTCGAACAAATTGCTTTCTTATTTTTATCTTTATTTTTAATCTAAATTCCAAGAGGACATTCCGCATTCCATCTTGCTATCTGTGCTTTTGGCTCGTGCCAAAATTCTCGTCGATTCTTCTCGATTTGATTGTGATCTGATCTTGGAGATCCGGAGGAAGAGGCCAGTAATGCGTAAGTACATATCATCTATCTCTCATTTTCACCATCTCTCTTCTTTCTTTCTCATTTTCTTCCTCTCACGAATGTGCGTCTGTATGCGCATTACGCACACGTACAGGGCGGGTTTGTCGACAGTCAACACACCCGTTGTGTACACAAACAGCCTAAGTAGGCACACAGGCACACGGAGAGGAGAACCGGTGGAGAAGGACCGGTGTGGAGGCGCGTATTCGCAACGCGAGACGTATACGACACAAACGACCGCCTGGAGGAGAACCAATAGCTCGTATGGGTTGTAACCCGGCAGCAGGCGGGGGCCATCCGGTGGGGGCCATCAAAATTTCAAAAACGTACGCGGGCCCCTTTCGCGACGAGGATAAAAGGCAGCAATCGCGATTCTTTCGGGCAGTATCGATACGATCGCCGTACTCATTCGAGCGTTCACGTGCGAGAAAAAACAGAATCGAGATCGACGAGAAAGCGCGAGGAAGAGAAGGAGAAGAAGTGAAGATAAGTTTCGAAGAGTTGGAGTAATTGATTCGATTCGGTGTTTCCTTCGCTGTCTGGAAGATTCATCAAAATGTTCAAATTCGCGGTAGTCGGCGCACTCTTCGTGGTATCCGCTCTTGCTGCACCGGCCTCACAGGATATGGGGGTGGCACCGCCGTCCTCGATCCTCGAGGAAGCTCTCGACATGTACGCTTCCTGTTCCGGGGAATCGAGTATTGCGGTGTGTCTCAAGATGAAGGCCCTGCGCTACGTCGACCGTGCCGCTCGTTCGGCCGACATCGAGATCATTGACGGATTCAAGATCGTACAGACTGAAGATGCCAAAAATAGGTAAGGGATCGCGGGAATTTACTCGAGGTAGTGATCGGTACGGTACTTACGGTTTCTTACGGTAACTGACCATCGAATTATATAATGGACGATATAGAATGAAATTAGGACATGAAAAATGAAGAAGAGCCCCTATTCTTGAAAAGTATCGCATACGTAGGGAAATACTATAATATACGTTACGTATACTATAGTATTTCCCTATAGTTTTTCATATTTTTTTTCAAGAATAGGGACCCAGATCTCTAACAGCACAAACCTTCAAAGGACATCTTTAGGACGTCCGTGAGTCCTTTGAACAGCCTAAGGACATCCCCAGGATGTATTCTGGATAAAGTGTGTTATTAGGGGTGATTCGTGTAGTGAACGCATGAATTTATATTCAACATATATTTTTTAATAAACTAAAGTGCATGAATTTATTTATATAATATAAGCCAAACTATCACTATTTGATTACCGAGCTTAGATTGAGTAATTATTTTGTATTGTAATATTTGATCATTTTTAGATTCAAATTTGCTTTGAGTGTGATTTTAAGAAGAATAAATTGTAAAGAGAAAAAAGAGACAAGTAGAAAAGAATTTGTAAATTTATAATAAATAATTTATAATAAATATTTTAAAAAAATGAACTGTATAGAGAATTAATTCTTTACTTTCACTTAATTACTATTGTAATCAATGAACATATAATTTGAATGCTATTTGATTCTACTTGACTCTACGGTGTCCGGTTGTAAAATTAACACAAAAAGTTATTAACGAAGATAGCTTGATATGCTCGACATATATATGATATAACGAACATATTTTTTTGTTTTCAGCCGAGCTGACAATGCAAGGTCTCTTAATGACATTGAAAATACTTTACCTGTTGAGACCGAAGCTAAGGAAGCTGCAATTGATCAGGCCATTGTCGACAGAGCCGCCAAATTTTTATCCACGCATACTGTTGAATTGAGTCTTCCCGAAGATGTTTCTCGCTCTTTTGATGAAGGTAAAATTAAATTAAATTAATTTTTTATTTAAAAAAGAAGAAAGAGAGAAGAATGTTCTTAAAGTTTTAAAGTTCTATCATTGACTGCTTTTTAATTAAAATACGCATGAATTTTATTTGAAATTTTAAGATATAAATGAAAAAAGTTTAGATATATGACCATAAATTATAATATGTCAAAACAAATTGTAGAGCTTATATTTCGGAATTATGTTTCAGCTCGTGGCAAGAAGAAGAAAATCGTTAAATCTCTCTTACCCATCCTTCTCCTTCTAAAACTGAAAGCTGCTGCTCTTATCCCTATTGCCCTTGGTGCTTTGGCTTTGATAGCTTTCAAAGCCCTTGTCATCGGCAAGATCGCTCTCATCATTAGCTTGATCATCGGTCTGCAAAAACTTCTTGCCTACAAGAGCCAGAGCTACGAGGTCGTCGCTCACCCCGTTCATGATTATGGACACGATGTGCACCACGACCACGGTCACGGTTGGGCGAGATCATCGGCTGGTTCTGATCTCGCATACAAGGCGTACAAACCTTCCGAATAGCTCAAAGTTACGCACAACTTCTTCCCTTTCTAATTTTCTACATTCGCCAAAGTGATCGTCCATAATCCATCGATCACCTGAGGGTGGCGTGACTCAACTTCTCAGGGATCCGTGAATAAGTTCAGCTCGACAACAAAGACATTTATCTTACGATATACAAACGACTATACTGAACGCAATTTTATGTGGACGGGTAAAGAACTGTAAGATACAGACGGTTACTGGATTTTGCGTGAACTGGATTTAACGGTACGATGACTCGACGACTTGGACGACGATGCCGTAATTGACAATCAATAAGGATACTACGATAGTTGTGGTTCGATATATACATTACGGCAAATCTATTATGAAGCTTATCACTTTACCAACATCAACAGAATACTGTGCTCAGAGATTATGAGAATCTCGAAAGACTCTCAAATAGTGGAATCCTGTCAGAATGGTAAAAGTCGCGCCCCCTCCGTCATACCCGTGCGGTATCCTTTCAGAATCCTCCGTGTCTATCATATGCGGAACGACTCGTAGTCAGTACTCGCACGGGATCACCAGATTTAATCCAATGATTATTTATATACCGATCACCCCATTTTGGGATCATCATGTAACTTATCATATTATTTATAAATAAATTGTAATTTTTATATAATATTAAAAATTGACTCAATTTTATTTCTTTCCAAATATTTCTCTTCCATATTACGCAAATATCCTTTACCAAAAAATACAAATTCCAACAAATATAATAAGACTATATTGATATAAGAATTTTTGAAACCGTGTTACAATAATGATAAACTACATATAAGATTATGGAAAAAAAATTAATTGGGTACAGCAATCCTATAATTTGCTATGCGAATTCAACATCGATAGCTAAAAAGATTTGATAGTTTAATAAATCGCTAATATTATTCAGCTGTCAATTTTGCTATTTTAACATAGAAAATTGACTGTCTATATATTACGATTGTAGATTTGCTGAGTCAGTGAAGTTTTTAGCTGTTTTTTATGATATAGATATATTTATATACATAACTTTATCAGAGTTAAAACATTATTTTGAAGTAATGACATCTGAAATTAAATTATTTTAAAAATGAGAAAAAGATTTTAAAATATATCACTGCTTCAAAAATTATTTTGAAATAGTGACGTCTGAAAATAATATTATTTAAAAAAATGAGAAATATTTTTAAAAATGAGAAAAAGATTCGAAAATATATCACGATTCAAAAACTTAATTTAATATTTTAAATGTCTTGCTGGATGACAATCTTTAGATCTCGTATGTTCCAGATTTACGCAAATTTCGGCAATTATATCCGCGCTACTTGTGTTCCCAATTTTTCTTGCTCAGCCATCAAGCCTGTCCTATCAATCTGAAGATATAACGATCTTTTGGACACTCCATTCTTCGACCAGAGGAAATTACCCTTCTCAGTGCATCCGGTGTATCGACTTCACTTCGTGCGCACAAAATACAAACGAAGTATACTTTCGCTACTTATAAAATCTTCCGAGTGAAACCAATTGTTCTGTCGTGTGTGAACGCCCTCTTGTCGCCTATATAGGTAGGTGCAGGAACAGTATGAACAGTATTTTACGGGAACTTCATTACTCTACATCTCGTCCTTATAATAGGATTTTCTGTTACAATCTTAAAAAATTGAAGAAACAAAATTATGATAGTTCGAAGATGTGAAAAGCATTCTAAAAGTCCAAAATTTTTAAGTGTCTGTTATCTTACAGTGCAGTACATTATTTTTTGTGCCTTGGAATAAATTTAAATAAAACGGTTGTGCAAAAGTTTTTATAAATTTCCTAAAATCCTTGTATCTTTGTTCTATTTATTTTAATTCTTATAAATTTTTATTCAATGTTTAATTTTATCTAAACATATACGATCTGAGAGATGTGCTCCGAAGATGAAAAGCGAACTCCGTTATTTAAGTTTGCTCGTTCTCGTGTCTACGAGTTTTACAGTGATCATGGAGCCCAAGGAACATATCACTTTAGACGATGAACATTCCTATAGCTTTAATGAAGTTCTTGGTTTATGTCTCGCAAAAAAGGAACATGGTACATTCGAATGTATAAATCGTGGCATTTTAAGTACCTTGCAGTCATTAAACGATAAGGATAGTTTGGAGTTTGGAAAGATGCAACTTGACAGAGCGGAGGGCTATGGTAGAGATCTTTTGGATCTAGATTATGATCCAAAAGATTTTGGAAATGTTGTAAAGGCAGCTGCCAGACTTATGGAACGCCGCAATGTCAAGTGGAATTTGGATAATATATATCCGGGATTACAGATGCGTATTGGACCAATGTTAAACGGAAACGGAATATTGGAATTTGTTATTAATGAAAGAGTTCCTTCATACGGCGATAGGCAGACTAGTACAGGTACAATATTATTTCTGTAAAAGCTACAATATTATTTCTGTAAAATTAATTAAAATTAATTTTAAATTTTGATTATCTTCAATAAGCTTGATCGTATCTATTTATAATTTAGAAATAAACGTCAAGAAAAATTTGTTTCAAATACGTATACATAATTGTTATTCTGTTGTAAAATCTACATTTTTATATCTTGCATAAAAATAAAGCAGAATTTTATTTAACTGTGGGAACGTTTTTACGTTAAAAATTTTTTTTAATATTGTAAATTTTACAAATATTTTTTACATATGTATGTTCTTTGCTAATAATTTAGCAAAAAACATATGTACATAAAATTTATTAGTAATAATTTGTGCAAATAATGTAATGTAAGAATTACATGCAACTGTTTCAAATAATTTGTGAAAGAATGATTATATGAAATGAATAAAGTTACAAAGTACTTGTTTCAAAAAATTGTAGTTTGTTATTATACGCAGAATTACTCGTGTTATCTTAGCGCGGAATTAAACCTTATGCTGATTCTTATACTGGTTAAGACGTTACATGTTACAACCAGTTTGAAGAACGTCCTCTAGCAGGCAGCACTATCAAGACAACCGGACTGGTTGCAAATTCAAGGTCAATTTCTATCTTTTCAGGAAGGCAGTTGACTAGACACATATTACTCCCATTTCTATTGGGTTTCAAATTCAATCTGGCGTCACTAATTCCGCTTATGTTCGGTTTCCTGTTAATCGTAACCAAGAAGGCCCTCTTATTGACGAAGATGGCGTTGTTTTTGATCGGTCTTTTAGGATGGAATACGCTCTTTTCCGGGGCACCTGCTGTACCTCCTTACTCGGCAAACGCATTTAATGGCTTCCACACTTACGGACACGACACACCGGCTGGTGTATATACCCATTACGATTATCATTACCCGCAGCGACCTTATAGACCCTTACAGGACTACAGTCCTTATGATCAGCATGTTATTAGAGAAGTTGTTAATGTTTATGACGGAAATAGCGATTCGGGACAAAGTAAACAAAATAAGAGGAATTTTGTTTTTGATTCAAAGTAGTTAATTGGGTCGTAAACTTTGAAATATATTAATGAGAGATTTAGATTATATAATTATCAACATCATGACCAAAGTTAGATATTTACTTTAGATTTAAGAGAGAGAATTATTTTCGTAACAACTTATTCAATTAATTTAAAATATAAGAAATATTTTATCAACTTTTGTATTATTTAGAGATAAGATTCTTAAGAATTTAGATCTTAATAATACGAGTTATTTTACAATAATGCGATATTTTGCAATATCGTATATAAATTACAATTATATTATTTCTATATTTTATTATACGCATTGAATTATATAATTAAACACATAGTTTTAAACCGAATTTAATGAAGAAACGTTTTTTCTTTTATTTTTTCTTTAAACGTTTTCTTTTATTTGTTCTTTAATTAATATAACAAACACTTTAATATACCATAATCAGTAATAAGTTAAATTAAACCCCGCTTATACAAATAAATCAATTAAGTAAAAAAACTCTAAATGCAGTCAAAGATAGATCTAGTGCTTAATAATATTTCTGTATTTATATTTAAATACATTTTCCAATATTTCAAACTGTATATTGAAATACATACAATCTTGAAAACACAGTCCTAAATTAAAATTGGCAATAATAAAATTAAATTAATTCAACATTATAATAGTAATGCTGCTAACAGGCGTTTCAAATTACTAAAAAAAAACTTATTACAAATATTATGTCAGTCAGCGTTAATATAATTTTTCAAAATGATATTTTGGATGAAAATGATATTTTCCTATTAACACTGATACATCTATATTATTAAATTGCATAATCTGTCGCAAATAAACATAGTAAGAAATGTAAAATGTTTATTAGAATAATATTTATTTTATATACCTACGCTAGTAATTTTTTCTTTGCATTATTATATTATATATCACACTCGTATTGTTTCAATTGTAATATATCTTCGTATTGTTTAGACGAATCGAATAAGTCGAAAGAGAAGAGATATTTTATGCCGATAAAACAACTGCTTCTTTGTTTGCATTGTGTAATAATGTTTTTTATTACAAATTCACTTTCAAGTTCAGTTGCAAGTATCTGTCCATCAACTAGAATTGTCACTGAGATTCTGACGTTTTCACTTAGTGATTCCATTAGCTTAGTCCATTATCGCATCGTCCTTTCTTTCGGTCGCCTAACTGTACTAATTCTCTCTTTCTCCGTTGCTCTTACGTTATTACTATTCGCAAGAATGACGATGATTACATCCGGGAAACGCACATTTGCTTCTCTCCTTCTCTCTTTCTCTCTCTCCCCTCCCTCCCTCCCCTCCCCCTCCCCCCCTTTCCTATTTGGAAAGGAAAATACTGTCGTATCTTTGCGGTCATGCGACTACATATGTGACCACGTGCTCATAGCATTCTCTGTCAAGTATAACAATAAGGTGGGAATGCACTGCATATTGTAACAATCGGTGAAAAAAGCTTTTAAACAAGTTTATCGCCTTTGTCCATCATTTAATTATTCCTCCTTTTAAACGTGTATCTTGTGTGTTACTATTAGTGTATTATATTATATCATAGAATAGTGTTAAGAGATATATGTAGTGCATATTAAGAAACAGATTAAGATTTTCAATTAATTATATAATGGAAATATATTTAAAGACCGAATGTTATTGATCAGATAACTTTTAATTAAGAGTGTTCGGTTAAAAATACAAATCTCTTTCAGACAGAAAGATAGTATTTACGAAAATACTAATTTACAAGAAATGATAATATTATCGTTGAGACAGTATCATTCTGTAATAAGAGCGTGACAAAGGCTGTGGTCAAAGTTTCGTTACAAATGCTTTGAAGCATTTGATAAATTAATTAGAAGAGAGAACTTTACAAATTAACTGAATTAAAAACACTTCAAAGCGTTTGCAGTATTTGCGTTGACCGTACCTATAAGCTTATGTTTGTATATACGCTTCGTTTTTGATAATTATTCGAACTATATCGTTAAAGTGACGATGAAGTGGATAATGAATATTTAGCTTCGTATAACAATCAATGTGATTGGAATTGATGTGATTGGAATTTACCAAGATGATGAAGGAATTATAGTGAACTTGGCTACTACACAACAGCCTACATTTGAAAAAAATAATTGCGAAATTGAATGCATTGAATGTGGACAGTATTAATCAAGTCCATATTTATAATTGTTCCAGTTATTTTCTAAATGTAGCTCGTCACGGATCGTAAACTGCACTAAATTAACAGTATTTAACAGATATAATAAGTTCCTCGATCTTTATTATTAGTTGCATATTGTAATATTACATTATATTATATTATATTAATTATATTAGTTGTAATACTGTAATATTAAATGCAACAAAATGAAAGAATTTCCCAAGATGAATACTAAAGCGATTATTTCATATATTCAATATTCAGATATTGAATTTGTATGTAGTAACAATAACAAAAAATAATTAACATTGGAAATACTAAAAACTCATTTCCGCATGACATTATTCTGTAACACGTAAAGTTAGTCATGCATGCAAATTGATGGATAAATCTACAACTGTTTCTGCTTCTCAATGCAGAGGTTTGCACTTATAGTCACATTTGGGTGGAGAATCGTTTGTTTTACCTGCATTCCATTCCTGATGCGTCGTTATTAACTACGGATTGGCGCGGCGGAGTTTTAAGGTTCGTTTGATAAGCAGGTCAGAGGGATACTTACTTACGGGGCTGTACGACATTGTTTTGGTTGAGGGGTCTTTCCTTCCGTTGTGTAGCGTTAAACAGCGCGTGGATCAAGTACGGGCGTGTATACCAGGAATCTTAATGCTTTGGTAGGAGAGGCTAATGGGTGTACACTTATATAAGTCACAATGCAACCAGATTTTAACGAGTAGTCTGCGAGATTTATCGAACAGATCAGCAGAGTGGACAGTGTAAGACGTAACGGAGGAGAAGCTGATGATTATATTACAGACAGTTAGAAGATAAAGAAGGAGAATCGACGAGTTTATATTATACTCACGATGGATAAGCGGCATTCAATGATTTGGATTTTACATTTTCTTCATCTCATGGTGTTCTGCAATTTAGTGATTGCTAAAAGTGAATACACAAATCTATTTGAACGTTGCGCAAACGAAAAAAACACTTTCAATTGTTTCAAACGGCGTGCTTTGGAAATTCTCGACTCGGCTATTCAAGATGATTCTATATTTAAAATCAATGATTACATTTCAATTACCAAAGATCCAACATCTACCGCTAGAAGTTACAACTCGATGGAATCTGAAAATGGCACGGAACTAAGTCTCGATCAAAAATTGGATAACAAGTTTTATGAATATTTGACATCGAGAAACGTGAAACTAACAATACCGGGAAATGTTTTTGAAGGTAACAGCACCTCAAGATTATTAATAAAAATGCATTATATTTTTTCAATTAAATCATTAAAAAAATAAATTGTAATTTAAAATGTTTTATAATCGATTATTTTATACAAATAAAATACAATTTATTTGTTCGGATGTATATTCGACAAAGAAATTGCTTTTTAAAAGTAGAAAAAATTTAACAATAATATTTAAATAAATATATTTACAATATTTGCAGGAAGAAGAAAAAAGAATAAGGGTTTTGGATATATAATAGTAGCAGGTGCCGTGTTAGCAGGTGAGTTCTTTCTATTCGAAAATCAATATTCTAATTTATAGAAGAAATAATTTTAAAATCAAAATTGAAAAAAAAATATAATAATCAATTCAAAAAATTAAATTAACTTATTAAAATTTTTTTAGGTTTTTTTAATACTACTAATTTTTTATACTAAACTATATTTTTAAACAATATCAGATATAAGCAATAATAGATATAAGCAATGAATAAAATTTATTTTTTATGGAAAATGATTTTTATTTGATTTGTTTATCTATTTTATTCTAAATGAATAATAAATCTAAATATAATTATAGAAAAAAAAATCGATTTTTCCATTCTTCCTTATGGAAGTATAAATTATTTGTTTAGGTATGATGGCGCAATTAGCCTATGGAAAAATTGCTTTCCTTGCTGGCACGGCTTTACTGACGGCGAAAATGGCTTTAGTTTTAAGCGCGATAGTCGGTTTGAAAAAACTAGTATCTAGTGGAGGAGGTGGTCATGAAGTAATTTATGCTACAGCATCGGAACATCATGGAGGTGGTAGCGGTGGATATGGTGGTGGTTGGCAACGAACAATGGATGTTGTTCCTCCAACCTGAATCATATTCAACACATATACTACAAATTCAAAAGTTTTACGATTTATCACATGTAATACATCTTCTTTGATGTATCTGATAATGAAAATGTATTATTTTTTAAATTTTATTATTTAATTATTTATTTATTTAAATATTAATTAATAAAAACGTTTTATTGTACATTACTTCCTTTTTTTTTAATCCAAAAGAACGTGTTATTCTAAAGAATAAATAATACATAATATTATTATTTGATATATATTTTCACATCAGTATTCACATCACACTTTTCACATCACTCGACAAATGTGCAAATTTAACTTACACTATTATTAATGTATATATAGTTTACATTACATATGACATGACATTTTAGGAATAAATGCATGTATTGATAAAAGTAAGGTGTGAATATGAATCTTTCTCTTAGATTTTTTATTAGTTCGGAAATTTTATCTTCCCTATTAACATATTTTATTTATATTAATCTAAAAATATAAAATCAAAATAGAAATTATATATTTGCTTAATATTTAAAAGATATTAATTATTTTTTATTTAATTTATTATTAATCAAAGAACTGGAAAGGATACGGGCAGTAAGAGTCAAGCGCAGAAGACGCAAACAATATATCTATGAAGTATGAAAAAGAAAAAAAATTAATTGCTGGATAATTAATTATAATCTTAAAATTGTTTGATAAATTAGTTCTCCATATTTAATTTATGATATTTCCTAATTTCTTTTTTTGTCTTTTTTTCATTTTTTTTGGTTTTTATTCCGACATTTAAATTCTCAATATAGGGAAGCTCACCATGACAGGATAATTTTTATTCACAGTTTTTGTATATGTTGGTTTATGTTGTTTCTGAGAAAGACTAAAAATGAGCTGAAATATGTAAGCGCGTTTTAGTGAATAAAGAAATTTCACACTTCATAGATATATTGTTTGCGCGACGTGCTTCTGCGCTTGACTCCTACATATTCTTTCTAATTCTTTGAATTATAAGGAGTTTAGATTAGTTTGATTTGTTATACGGATTTATTATTAAGTTGTTATTTAATTTATACTTAATTCTATTATTTTGTAAGATAATATAATATTATTATCAAAATAATATCAAAAAAATATCATAAAATATATTTATGTTTGATAATTTATGAATATTCTTAACCCTTTATTCAGAGGTTCAAGGGACCCTAAAAAAGTGAAAGATTTTATGTCTCTAAGGTCTTTTTTTAAAACAGGATTTAAACTGCCATTTAGTCCGAAGTTCAATATACCCTTTTCAGTCAATATACCCGAGTCAGATACTGTTCCTTAGATATCAGTCTTTGCAATTATTTTTATTTATTATTAATTATTATTAATTATATTAAAATTAAAAATTTCAAAAAGCCAATGCGTTTCTACAATGTTTAAAGTATGTTTAATAATTTTTGTGATTTTGAAGAATAAAAGCTGTAAATACGGCAATCAATTAAAATATTGAGGTCATTTTGCTCCCTGTATGATCAACTTATAATTTTCAGAAGGTGTCACCACGAAGGGTTAATACACAAATAATTGCATAAAAAAATTAAAAATATGTAGAAAAAAGTTAAAATTATATATTTAAGCTATTTAAATAATTACACATCGTATATTAGACTTTATGTAAAATATAATATATATAAATATAATAAGGATGAAAAAACTTGTTCGTATTTGTAGAATAACATTTTCACGTCAAATTTTTTACTCGTACAGAAACAGCTATCAACATTGGATACTCATG